CTCCCCTTCCAAGCATGAAGGAGGAACTACGGCAGCTACGAAACATACAAAAAAATGTGAATGGCCCTATTCAGAGCCAGTGTTGGTAAAAATCATGCCTTGATACTATAAAGACTCTAATATGCAGTTGCACTGCACTGCAGGCTGTAAAACTATTTAGAGCACCATTGAGATAGACTTTTTTTTTTGTTTACTTCAGAAATGTTAGCGTTCTAATATAAAGTTTATATGCGAGCAAAAGCTCAAACAACCATTGCATGAGTCAACAAAAAGGAGTCATTCTTTGATGTAGGCAATGGGGATGCTCCGGGGTTTTCCTCTTTGTGGCAAGGCACTATGCCCAACAGGATGAGTGAACTAATGCCTCGTTTCTTCATTTATATGTCTGTTAAGATTCTTGTAAATTACAGTTACTTGTAAATTCTGTTGTATTGCCCATCTGTCAGGTTCCTCTAACAGTAGACACCACCAAGGTTGCCGCATTTCTGTACTCCACCATGGACTAGTTAATCAAAGAAGGCAGCCCGAGGGAGAACCCCCAATCCCCCACCCCCAGGCCAACCATGCCCTTAGGCAGTGGTAAAGGAGAAAATGAAGCGGGGCGATTCACTGCTGGAGGATGCTCAAGGTTTGTGGCAGGTCATGGACAGTGCATCTTTATTGCTGCCAGACCAAGCAAATAAATGAACCTCTTCTGCTGGACAACACTCCAGTATCACCGTTTCACAAAAACATAGGAATTGCATTACAAAATGTCTGTAATTGAAGTTAATTAGGCTGAGTCAAGGGCAAGTCAAATATGTTCAAAATTCAAACCTTTGCGCTCAGCTCTACACTGACACTCCTTTCTCTCTTGTTTTCAACTGTTCTTATTTACCCATGGATTATAAGCTACAGCCACCCTGCTTGTTTCAAATATGTTTCTGTATTGTTTCCGCTTTCTTGTTTTCACTCAACTGAAACAAAGCCCCAAAGACTGCTTTCTTTCCATTTTTGCGTCTTGTCATCCGTGCTAAGAAAGGCTCGTACCAAGCTGCCATCCATTGTCTCAGGTGAGCAAAGTGAAATTTGCCTGTTGCCATGGAAATGCTATAGCGATTTCTTCCAGATAAAAGTTATTATTCACTTGCCATAGGATCTTATTTTGTACCGAACAAATCATGTCCAGATTGAACTGACTCCTGTATTATTTTTTTTTATTATCTGCTTCAAATAAGATGTTCCATCATATGGATATTCTGCATACCCTGAAAGCCTTGAATTAGATTGAAAGCTATTCAAAATTTAAAGGGGCTTTGCTTCTATAAGATCTGGCAAGCAGTCAGCATGTGCCTCTACTTTGTGTTGGATCAACTGGACAACTATGTCTCCTGTTCGGATTATACCAACCTCATCCTGCAGCTCCTTGACAAAGCGCTTAACACTGATCCCTCAATCTGCTGGCAGAAGACAAACCTCTTGTAAGACCAAAGGCAGTTGCTGTTTGATGTATCCATTCAGATATCTTCTCTGTGAGCCCTGACAGCACAGGGATTTGAGCTATACCTACTTTTTACTCTCTTTGTACCAATTAATTTCCCTCAAGATAGCAGTCCATCAAATCACCTCAGTTTTCAGATGACAAGAGCTTGATAAGCTTCATCAGGACCATTGGGTAAATGTGACGGGGAGAGGCGGCCATCCTCAGTTCATGCTTCGCTGATTATAAGTTGGAAATGAGCAGGTTCAAAGCTGCTGAGGTGATGATTGACTTTCTTGTGTTCATCTTTCCCTGGAGATCACTGACTCAATGTATGTCAATTTTTATAGGTCAATCACTGAAAGCTCAGAAACTTCATTAAAGAGTGCGGTGCAGTGGCTCGTCTTCCTCCAAGGACAAGCTTCTTCATGTTGACCACACCGCACATCACTGGCTTTTAGCTTCTTCCCAAATCCATAACAACATGGCAAGAGTTGGTATGATTGGTACTACTCACCCAGGAAACTATCTATTAGTAAGAAAATCTACCATCCTCTGAACCTCCTCTATGGTCCTAATTTGCCCTTCTAATGCTCACCACACAGTATCTGGACCCCTCCTCACGCCCTGTAGAGCTGTCTATAAATCTCACTGCTGACACTATTTATTGCCCTTTACTTTCTCAACATCGAACAGGATTTTAACTAATCATGCACTTCTACTATGTCTGCACAAACATTTTAATACTTAGGTCAGTCATTCAATAAGTTTTAGAGATTAAGGTTTTTCCATATCTAATGCAACTCACAATCTAGGTGCAAAACAAAATGTATGAAATATTTATACGTTATGTCACATATGTTGTATGATATGCTCACAGAATATAACAATGACTCCATGGATGTCAATGTCAGTCTCTCAGTCCCTTGGCCCTTCACTTTGGGCCAAATATGTCAACAAGTACTTGGTCCATTAATGGTACTCTTGGTACAGACAGTTATTGTTACCGTACAATGTATCCTCATGACTTTGGTGATTTCCCTGAATTTCCTCTAGCACCACCATTAGGTTGCTATTGGAAAATTGGGCTGGTATATTGAGTTTGTTTTGGTCTATTTTTAAATATCAAATATCAGAAAGTCACTGTCATCCATCTTAAATATGATGAACAGCAGTAATGTACTACACCTGGGTGTCTCCTACCAATGAGTAGCTGTAGTAGTTTAAATGCTAATATCATACTGTCAAATCGTCAATGTCATCAATTACAAAAATGGTTGCCAATCCAACACTTTATATTCCCTTCCCAAATTACTTACTTAGTTTCTGTCAAAATGTAAATTCCCATACGACCATTGAATCACAATAAATAAATGTTTGATCACAGTAGTAAAAGACATCTGAGGGGGTCCTCTTTGTTTGAATCAAAAGCTGCAGCTAATGATCGAATAACAATCTTCTTGCCTCAGCCTCCACTCCATGTTCCTCCTTTCTCTCCTCTCTTTCAGACTACAGGATTACCCAGCAGCAATTACATGTAATGAAGCCTCTGAGACTGTTAAATACATATTTTTAATATATATTTTTGGGGGTTTCCCTTTACCTTCCTTTCTTCTCAATGACACAGAAAATACAACTTGAGGGTTTTAGCTGTAATCATCAGCCTGCATTTAAACACACAAAGCCTTTGTAATTTTCAGTGGAACCCAGGCTGTTTGACAACCCATCACAGGCTACATCAAAGACGGCAAGACAGGGACATTTCTTGCTTGGAAACACAAGTCCAGTCTACACAATTTATACCTAGATATGTTTTTAATAAGACACATAACAAGATCCCTGAACATAACATTCTTTCCCCTCCTCTGGAGTACAGAACCAGAATTTATCAGATCACTGGTTCCCTTATGTTTCCCTCCATCACCTCTGAATTAAACACAACTACAATTTGCTTCCCTCAACTTCCTTTTTCACTTTTGGTCCTTCTGCCTTTCCTCACTGAGCTTGTTCAAAACCAAAGTGACTGCTGATCTCAGTAGAAATCCAGGTGCCAGTTCAGTGTTTTCTCGCCTTTCTTCTCCTCCCCTCTTTCGCCCAATCAACGAGTGCATGCTTGCCTTTTTGCCTCCATCCTAACTCACCTGTATCTGAACCTCCTTCAAGCTCAGTATAAACCATGCTGCATCCTGTTTCACACCCTCTCACTCTATCACCTACTCTTTTTAGCTTATGCGTTTAAGAACTCATTACTGAATTGATACACGGCTGACCAGATGTGGCCTTGACACACACTTGTTATTGTCATTAAAGACAAATATAAATCACTACTAAAAAATCTGCTGTGTATAAGAATTTCAGGACATAAATCTGCATTAAGACTGACTTTTAAAAAAATGCCACTGAAACCATGTTAGAGGCTTTGGTGAGGGCAGCAGCCTGCATTAATCATTTAATTACTGGTTTGGGTCAGTTCCAAAATGGAGCTGGAAAATACTATTATAATTCAAAAATATGTCATGACCAGAATCCACCTCAGAATAATTATCTTCTCTTCTCCTCTAATCCTCAAACTTTTCACTCCTTCCATCATCCTCACCAGAAACAGAGCGACGGCTGATCCCAGTATGAATCCAGCCACTACGTCCGAACAGTGGTTTCGGTACTCTGAGACTCGGTTGAGGCCAGTGAGGAAGGCCGAACAGAGCGTACCCAGACAGAGAACAGGCTTGGCCAGACGGCTGGACTTGGTCTTGATGGTGCTGGTGATGTACATCTGAAAAGAAGTGTAGAAAATTAAATCTCATGAAAAGCAACTGGAAATGTTCCAACAGATGTGGAATCAAATATTTTACCATTTCACACGAGCATAAAACCTTCATTGCATGGCAAAACAGTTGAGGAGAGATGTCAAAAACTTGCATCATATGAGTGAAATAACTCCAAAACAAAGAGGTTTTTTTGAAAAGAATAAAAGATTAACCTAATATGGGAACCTCTAACTATGAGTGATAGTTGTGAAACATACGCTCTTGAACTTTTACCATCTTGCATGCCAACCGAGGAGCTGTGCTTATCAAATCCCCTTTTGATCAACAATCTGTCTTTGTATTCCTCCATCTATTGCTCCAGCTGATAAAACCTGCTCTCTCTTCCACTTTGCAGCCGCTGAGCCCATCCGTCACTCTGATATAAAATACCAGCTCTTTCAAATAGCCTTTCAAAAAGCGAATCTTCCTG